TCTGCGACAATCTCTGTATTATGGATGATTTTTGGAAACAATATATCACTTACAGATACTGATTAAACTAAATTAGTTTTTATTCGAATGTTTATGTCAGGCGTCAGTCATTCGGATGTATTGCAGTAAGATCTAATTATATTAAGATTTTTTAAATGCAAAATTATTTTGTGTAACAGCGATAATGAATGCAACCTGACAACGCTCATTCTGCTCGGTGTAGCAATTTTAATTGCCAACAGTATACATTAGGAACTAGCAAGAAACTTCTCCTTATTAACAATGTGTGGACTCTTTGCTATGTTATGGGTTTGTCTAAAGTTTTAGGTATCACCTCTTTCCTCTTATACGATACAAATAATAAGCCACCTAATTATTGCACTGAACATATACAATTAGTTACCCAATTATGAACTCAAAATTTACGTTTCTAAATTTTCGCAAAATACCAGTTTAGCTGAACTGAATTCTTAAACTTTTATTACCTCCATTATAGCGGTTTAATTGCTTTCATAATTATCTTAAGCTTACTTTGTATTTTATGCTTATTTTTAATGAAAAGCTTTTGTGCTTGCATTTTACATAATAAATTATTTCCTATCCACTAAAAATGAAATCACATTCCGGTAATTCATTCATTTATAAGTGAGTTGAAAATATAAATGTCGCTGTGGGTTTCTCTTAAGTTTTCCAATTCATTAGAAAGATTTTTAAAAATTACATCTGCATGCGTTGCAACTTCAAAATTTTAAACTGCATGAATTACATTTTAATAAAATCATGAAGTCAACAAAATTAGTAAATTAATAAAATAAAAAAAAAATAAAAGGTAGGATTTTTTCTGAACAAAGTGATTATGTTTTATGCATTCAGTTTCCGATTTATTCGCTTCAGCTGAAGGTATGAGAAAGCATAAATGTATTTTTGTTACAGTCGCTTATATTTTCTCTTTTTAGCATATATTACTTGTCTTCATTTCATATGCCCTTTCCGGAGAAAAACAAAGAAACTAGAAACGCCTTTTATATCCAAGCATTTGTTTCAGAATAACTAATGTTATGTACAGTACGATTTCAGTCCATATTTCGAAATGTTTAACAAACTTTGATTATATTGTCTATCATTATTTGGGCCTTTATATTTACGCAATTGCTTAAAATTAAGCATTCTAAAAAATAAAAAGGCAGGCTTTTTAAAAAGAGTTATATATATATAACTTCTTTAATATATAACTCTCTCTCTCTCTCTATCTATATATATATATAAATATTGTTACGTTATTTTCTTTCTTTGGTACGTTCGTTACGGTGTTCGTGAGGATTTGGAGTGAATAACGACAACAGCACTTGATGAAGTATCGAAACGCACTTTATTTAGCCAATAGTAATCAGGACAGCTCCAAAATCACGTTTTACAGTCGTCGAAGAACTACTATAAACACGCTGACACAATCAGCGACACAGCCTTCACACTATTAGGCTATACGGTGGAGACAGCTTCGTTGAAATGCACCAGAGTACAGCTCCCGACTCTGCTCGTTTGTTCTCGGAGCTCCACGTACTCTCCATGCTACAACTCACGATGCACTCGACGACACACAGAGCACAGCTCACGACTCTTCGGTTCAGTCGTTCCCGGAGCTCAGCACACTCTCTCGACGATGCACTCACTAACCGCGATACACTAAGGACTCTTTCGATGCACTCGACGACCCACTCGGCACTCGCTGCCCATCTGTCAACTCAATCGACTCCACACGGACTGACTAACTCGAGACTAACTATCTCGCACTCGCTCTCCGCGAACCAGCAGGGTTTATATAGTTTTTGGCTTGTGTTCGAGAACATTCTGGGCTAAACCGGTAAGAATTCGTTCCAGAAGGTTCTGCATTCGTCGCTGACATATCGCCAATTTCATCGTCAAATGGGCGATTTCTCGCCAAATGTGGCAACTCTGAATTCCCTTGCCATTTTATGGCAACCCTAAAACTGCTTTGCGAGGAAGCCATCCCACCGCACCTGGACATTTCGTAATAATATATATATATATATATATATATATATATATATAACCTTTATTTATCTGTTTGGTGACAGCTTCTGGCATATGAATCGTGTCAGACTGCAAAAGTTTAAAATGTTTTTGTGATAATGACGCTGGGTTACCTCTTTTTACCTATACAATTATTTTTCAGACACACTGTGTTACATTTCTTCAAGCATACACTGATTTTTTTTTTCAGTTATTTCATATAACAAACTGATACACAAACTAAATAGAAAATCTCGAAGGCTTTCCAATAAACTAAAGTTTCAAATCGGCATTTTTACTATCTCAGTTCACGTGAATGCTCTTCAGCTGTATTCAAACGCATTCTCTTCCAAATCTCCGAATTTTATCCACTGTACGAGCGGTCTAAAACTTCATTTTAAGCTATATATTGAGATAAAAGTATACTTAAAATTGCTCGGCGCTGTTTAGTCTGACGGTTAACGGAGCCGTTTGTTTTGTTAGCCCTGGGTACCCGTGAAGGTCTGGATGTTTGTAAATGTTTAATATCTTCGGGAATTCGATCATTTAAATATTCTTCGAGCTGAAGATTTCCTCGAGAGGATAGTGGTAAGGGATGAGAAGTAGGAGATCTTTGCATTTTGTCCCTTAGAAAGTTTTCGTTCCCAATTAGAATGGCGCTGGGCAAAGTCATTTTGTCATGAGTATATATTGACCTAGGCTTTGGCCTTTGACACAGGCTCTTTTCTATCAGGTCATGTTGAATTCGTGCAACCAGTATATTATATGCTGAGCATAAATAGCAGCAACACTTCTAATTTCGCTACCGAACTTAAATAAATAATCGTTTCAAAATCATTTAACGGGGAAATAAATGCAAATATATGATATGTGTTTAAATAAACGTATTATTATTGATAAGCATAATTATAATAAATTCCTTAATTATAAATCTGCATCTTTTTATTAATATACATTATTGGTCGTCCAAAGTTTGTACCTTCTTTCATTTTCGTGTTTCGAAAAAAGTTTTAGTTCTTAGAAAATAATTAAAATTAATGAGTTCGTCTATCTCATTTCCTGCAGAGAGCAATACCTATTAACCGTTTATTAATCTTCTACTTTCGCTTTCAAAGAAAGAATTTACGTTTTAAATCACAAACTTCTTAGCAATACTTTAATGAAAGTAATTTTGGTGATTAATAATGCCTGGAATATGTTTACGGAAACAAGGTACGGGTAGTGATTTTCTATTTTCTGAAGCAGCCTTTATTTAATTAGTAATTTAATGAGTCTCATTCAAGTAAACTGCAGAAGCATAGCAGTGCATTTAAAAAATTATTTGGTTGAGTAATACAGTAATATCATTTAGACAATTTTCGTTAAACATTTCTCTTAATTTAATTCCAGCTTTTAATTTTCTACTTTTCTACAGAAAGCATTCATAATTTAACTCCAGTTCTTGATTTGATAGTCTTTGCTAACTGTGAAATTTGTCAGCTCATTTTTCATATTTCTACTGAAACGGCCTTACACTGATTAGCAAGATATTTTCAAATTTCATTGCTACTTTGCACATCAAGTATAAAGCAACATTTTTATCATAATATCATTAACACGAATCTAGATTATACTAAAATAATGCGAGTCTTATTCCTTTCTTTAAATAAATTATTAATTGAATCGTTACCGATAAACGTGGTATCATTCTTTGGAGGAAAAAGTATTGCTTTTATTGAATTACTGGGTTGCAATATGTGCAGAAGATAAAGCTATTATATTTAATAACAAGGTAATTTAAGAATAAGGGAACATCTTTCTAGACGGCGCAGTGGTTAGTAGAGATTGGGTGACAGTCCGAATTTTAGGATGCCGGTTTGAATCTTGTGTAAAGTTTGCTTGATTTTTGTGTCCTCCTTTCTTCTCGTCGTAATATCGGGTTGCCCCTTGTAAATAGTGTCCTGTGTAACGCTGTTGGTGATATATTAACAAAATATGCAGTAAAATTTATTCAAATTTTTTATTTTTAAATTTCTAGACTATTTGTTAGGAACTGGATTATTATTGTAAAACGAATTTGCATTTAATGATGATTGTTAAAAGAAACTTTATGTACATTACATTATGTTTCAAGATTGCTTCATGTGAAAGGTACGGCCTATAAGTAAAAGAAATTACTATATAAATTAGGTTAGGTTATTTAATTACAGCAAAGCCTCGAGGGCTATCTGCCTAAGGGTAGGGATGCCTTCGTGGAGGACTTTCTAAGGAAAACTTTTTCGTATACACGTTACACATGGGGAAAACCACGAAAACACCCATGCAGCCAGCCCGTCCGCGGGATTCGAACCTCGTACCGAACTACCAGTGTTCAGCGACCTTACCGTCCTAATTGCTATATAAAAATAAGTTTATGAATACCATATGTATACTTATTATCATGGAAAGCAATGATGTTTTAAAAAATGGACAGCTATAAAATATAAGATAAGCTAGATAAAATTTATATTCTTAAAAACTATGAAAAATACAATTTAAAAGCACCTTTGAGGATAGAATCTTTCATCAGCAGTTCTTAACCCATTGTTGCATATTAAGATGTCCACGAAATACTCTAAAGATTAATTTAATGTACACAAATTCGGTTCGTTTAAAATACAATACTTAAAACAATATAATTAACTCATACAAAGAAGGTTCGCTTTCTGAATTTAAATACGCTCTATAATTCACTAATTATGCGAAGTAGGTTTATTTAAGTTAAATACACTGTTTGAATTACTGAATTACGGTTTAGAGCTTCTTAAGCTGTGTGCTGTGTCTAGGAACACGATTTTAGTATTTAAATTATATAAATTTAATTTTATTAGTCATCGCACTGTAGGATTTGGTTCACACACGTACTGTATTCAAAGGACGGGGTATTTAAATAACACATTATATTTCAATTGCTACTATTACAGGGAAATTAAAAATATTTTGTTGCTTACCTTTTTGCGCCATACTCTTATTTGGTTCATACTGTCGTATGATGTCACGTGCTCTTGCTGGATTAGCGTAGGGGTAGAGTATCTCATTTAATCTGGGATCTCGTTGCTCTTTATTCAAGAACTCTACAATTTGATCTACAGTCATGCCTTTTTTCTTTCCACCACAGCTAGAAAATTAAATAATAGAAAATTAAAATCATATTCTAACATCTGCAGAAACAGCTTAATGGATCGATTAATCTGTAACATAAAACAAAAGACTTTACATCCTGATCCGTCAGATTTTCAAACTGAAAGCCTTGTTCGCGTGAGAGATATTAGGTATTCCACTTTTTTCATGTATTCTTGAACATTTCCTAACACATCATCATAATCAGCATCTGGCCTTCAAAGTTTCAGTATCACGAAATAGTGAGGAAAAATTCAATCCTGTATTCCATTCGTCCCATTCGGGAATGCTCTCGATAATCTCATCACTAACTATAGGCACTTTCGAAAGAGACCAATGCTATCAGTGCTTTTAAAACATTTCCACGCAAGTTCCTGATGCTCTTAATATCTTGAGGATTGAGTCCACACAAGCTTCTAAATCACCTTTGAAGGGCAATCGAGTTTAATGATAAAACAAAATATACTTAGCTTTACCTTTCATTTATGCTATTTCGTTACAAACTATTCCTTGGCGCCAAATATTGCATGGTAAGAAAGAATAGCAATATATTTATGTAATGATAAACATTTCACATTTTTATCTTCCACTATTAATTCATATAAAATGTTTCTAATCCGGGGAAGACTTTATGATCATCCTGTATATATCTCTGTAATTATGCATTTTCTTTCTTTACTTTTTTGGCGTTATATATAAAAGAAATATTTAAAAATTAATCAAGAGAAGCAGAAAATTTATAATTTCCGTGATTTATAATTTCCATGTGAATTTATAATTTCCGTGATTTATAATTTCCATGTGAATTTATAATTTCCGTGATTTATAATTTCCATGTGAATTTATAATTTCCGTGATTACAAAATAAAAATGGGAAGTATTGTGTGCCTTTGTTGAAGTAAACGGAAGTATGTTCTCCTTTATTGTAATAAGCACCATATGCATATACGTGATTTAAATGTAACGCCTTAAGTGCAAACGAGAATACATATCGCTAATTGTTTAAATAGAAAAATATTAAGCCTACAAATAAATAAATAAAAAAGTAAAGAAAGTTTATGAGGGAAGAATGCGCAAATTGAGAGTTAAAATTAAAATATGAGAGTTAATAAATAATTAAATAAATTCGCAAGTTTTTTCGAATGTGGAAGTATGTATAGGAATCAGATTCATATTTTTTTTTCAAGATATTAGCTTTTAAGTTTTGCAAAAGAAAGAAGTTTAGAATTAGTTCAAAAATAAGCAATGATTAACAATTACAAGCGTATTGCCTTCTTTAGTGTGTTCCTCAATACAAAATACCAATTTTCTCTGTATATGAACAATATAAACGGCACTTACAATAGATGTACTAAATTTCCAAGGAATTGTAACATCTGGTAGGGTCTTAGGACTGAAATACGTTTTTAATAAATGCATAAGAAAATAAACTAGGAACTGGATTTGTAAAATATCCATGCATTGCATTAATGAAAAAGTTGTAATGTTTAACTCTCCGAGCGTTACGGGTTTAGCTCTGAAATTTCGAAGTTCCTCAAAATTTCATGAATAAGTGGTATTTTCTTGATTTTAATTTTAAAAAATGACTGTCTCACTTTATACTTTGATTCCTTTTCTTCCAGTATACATCCAAAGCAAAATCGGGTACTTTAAAATCTAGTAGAAATTTCCATGTGTAATGAAAAAAGAAGCCAGCCTTCTGTACAGAATTTTCCAGCCATAACGCTGACAGCGAAGCACATATGCGGACTAGCCTTTTATGAAAATATGAATAAAATTATATTTCCAAACTTACACAGTCTTTTATTTTGAAATCAAAAGCCAAAAAAACCTGTGATTTGTCCAAAATTCGCTTGATTGTTTGTAGGGGAGATAAAAAGAGACAGAGAACTTTCAAAATGTATTCATTTTGGGTATGTTCCATCTATTTATGTCGTTTAGCTCAGTGTTTCTCAACTGGATTTACTCCAAGGACCAGTAAAATATTTTGGTGCGTTCTCGCGGACCGATAAGTTTAATAATTCTACCCATAAGCACAATATTTTCACATAAATAAATCATGAAGACAAAAATAATTTTAATGCATTTTATTTGTTATAATTTACATATGTACATTCAGCTTACTTAAAATATTGCATCAAGAATAAAACTACCAAAATTAACTAAAACTCCAAGAAAATTCTAATATGAATGATATATTTATTTTTTAATTATTATATTATATTAGCAAAATGAATCGAAACGTAAACAGCTTAGGTAGATACAAAATAAGCAAAACGTAATTTGCCAAATTAAAGGAAATGAAAACTAAAATAAATGAGATTACTGTTGGTCTCTGTTACTGACTAAAGTGTCAATTCTAGGCGTTAGACCAGTTACAGCACTACGTAGAGAAAGCGTAAGGGCAAGTCGATTTCGATGTTTCGTCTTAATAGCAATCATAGCCGAAAATGTAGTTTCACACAAGTAATTCGAGGAAAAAGGCAATAAAATCTTCAACGCCTTTGTATGCAGATTGGGGTATTCTGTTACAGTCTTTATTCAGAACTGATTTATATTTACTGAATTCAACCGTGATTTAAGTCCTAGATCTGAAGCTAGTTCAATAAGTTCTGTTTCCTCGACTGTAGTAAGATTGTTATTGTAATTCTCAATAAATGGATAGATTATCCATAGATTACCTGAACGCACATCTTCTTCTGAGGGGATAATATTGCTCAAAAGCCATAGAAAGTTCATTTAAATGCTCCACAATGACGTTGGTAACGCTCTTCTGATCCATGAAATTAGCATTAATGTAATCAAAGAAAGAAGCAAACATATCAAAAGCGGTTTTTTCCGCACGTTTGTACCAGAGTTTCAGTTTCTTCTTGAAAGCATCAGTCTTACTGTAGAAGTTGAAAACGGTATTATTCTTACCTTGAAGACTTAAATTTAGTTCGTTTATTAGTGAAAATATGTCTAATAGGTATGAAAGCAAGGCTACCCGTTTTTTGTTCTGAAAATGTCTGCTCAATAGTGATCCCTTCTGATTTAAAAACAATTGGACCTCGTTTCTCAACTCATACAGCCGGTTAAGGACTTTTCCTCTGGATAGCCAGCATATTTCGGCGTGCAACAATAATTGTACATGATCCGCTCCTTTTTCTTGACATAAAGTTGTAAACAATCTTGAATTAAGTGCGTTATCTCTGATAAAATTTACAACCGATTACAGATTATTATTAATTACAGATAATTTATAATGCAGTGAGTAAATACTAATTCTTCTGATACTACGTCTGCTATTATCTTTATAACACCTGTACGTCTTCCAGTCATAGCAGCAGCGGCATCAGTACACAAACCCATACATTTTCTTACAGTCAATGGAATTACTTTCAATGTAAATTTTAACTGTCTTCAATATTTGGGATGGCAGTTCGATACAACACATCAATTCTCTAATCTCATTGATTGCATAGTCAATATAACGAACATAACATAACAATATTGTACTATTTGAGACGTCAATTGACTCATCCATTTAGATAGCAAATCATTTCGATTTACGAATATTTTGCAGTAGTTGACTTTCTATGTCGTATGATAACTCACCTATTTTTCGTCCAATACTATCATTGGACAGAGGCAGCGTTTTCATTTTATCTGCAGTAGATTGGCCCAACACTTCATAGCACACATTTATCAAACAAGGTTTGACAAGTTCTTCAGAAACTGAGTATGGTTTTTTAGATTTGATAATACGCATAGCAACTAAATACGAAACGAAATTCGCTCTCAAGCACCTGTTCTACTCATATTTAGGCAAGGATATCCATTAGAACTTCATACTGATGCTAGTAGTCAAGGCTTTGGTGCGGTATTACCCCAATTATTTGATGATGGTAATTATCACCCAATCCAGTATATGAGTAAGATGACTTCACCGCAGCAAGAAAAACTCTGTAGTTACGAATTAGAAGCCCTTGCAGTTATAGAAGCTCTGAAGAAGTTTAGAAACTATTTGTTAGGGACTAAATTCAAAATTGTAACTGATTGTAATGCTTTTCAGAAAACTTTAGATAAGAAAGGTTTAACTCCTAAAATTGCAAGATGTTCAATGTTTATTGAAGAATTCGATTACGAAATTGTACATCGTTCAGGAAGCCAAATGAAACATGCTGATGCTTTAAGTAGAAATGCTTTAATTTTAACATCATACACATCCGATGTAACTGAGAAGATTCGGTTAGCACAACAACAGAATGAAGATGAACATGTGAAATTGATAAAGAATTTAGTTGAGAAGGGAGAAGAAAATGGATTCTTCGTGAGAAATGATATTTTGTATAAATTTGATAATGGTAAAGATCTGCTAGTAGTGCCAGAATCCTTACAGAGCGAAATCATACAGAAGGTACATAAAAAAGGTCACTTTGCTGTAGATAAGACTGTGAATGCTGTAGATCAAGAATTCTACATTCCCAGATTGAAATGTAAAGTTGAAAAGGTAATTGCTAACTGTATAGAATGTATACTGTACAACAAGAAGCAAGGAAAAGCAGAAGGATTTCTTCATCCTGTACCGAAAGAAAACGTTCCTTTGAGTACGTATCATGTCGACTTTATTGGACCTCTTCCATCAACGAACAAGAGATACTAACACATTCTAACTGTGGTCGATGCTTTTACGAAATTTACTTGGTTCTATCCAGTGAAATCACCAACTACGCAAGAAGTCATTTCAAAATTGAAGCAACAACAGACTGTATTTGGAAATCCAGCCAAAATCATTTCAGATCAAGGTAGTGCCTTTACATCGAAAGAATTTTCAGCTTATTGTACAGAAGAAGGTATAGAACATGTCAAAATTACTACCGGTATTCCAAGAGGTAACGGACAGATTGAGCGAATCCATAGAATTTTGATTCCTGTTTTGTCGAAATTATCACATGAAGATTCAACGAAATGGTTTAAGTATGTTCCAGATGTTCAGAGAATCATCAACAGTACAAC